GTCTGGAAATTAAATGTATATTGGATTTGTTGTTAGTTGAGTGAAACATTAATAATGGTCTTCCTTTAACCTGTCAGATTTGTTCTGTGTGCATTTTGGTATTTCAGAGGTAAACTGACCCTCCTGCAGTGTATCTCCACACCGTCCATTCACCAGAGGTTATCTCGTCACAGCTGAGAGTAATTTTCTCGTACTCAAAAAACTGAGACCAGTTGGGAATGACCTTCAAAGAAGCTGAGAGAGACAGAAGAACAGTAACAGTAACAGTTTTAGTTTAGTTTAATTTTACAGTTTACAGTAACAGAAGAACAGTAGGGTTTTTCCTTTCAGTATCAGTCATTTTTTGGGTGTCTAGACACAAAGACACATTTCACTTCTTAATATTTTACTTTGAAGGAGAAAGAATGTCTTTTAATTTTTTAAAGAGGTCTTGATCAGCAGTTCTCCAGGCTTTCTGAAAGTCTATCAAAGACTTTACTTGGATATTGGCTCCTTTGGCACTCATTTGTCGAACCATTTTCAGATAAATGTTTGTTTTGGGGTTTTTTGTTTGGTTTGGTTGTAAACACTAAGTAATGAATCCTTCCAACACCTAAGACATGACCCAGTATTGTATCACCACATATTAGACAAATGGTAAATAGACTGGCACTTTTCTACTCTGCCTGAGCACGCAAAGTGCTTTATACTACTAATTCATTCACCCAATCACACCCATTCACACAAGCACTTCTTCCAAGATTAAGTGCTAAGTATCTAACATTCATACTCCGATGGATGCATCAGAGAGCAACATGGCGTTAGTATCTTGCCCAAGGATATTTGCCATGCAGACTGGAGCAGCCTGGCATCAAACTACCGACCTTCTGGTTAGTGGCTGATCTGCTCTGCCACCTGAGCTACAGCCACCCTGACAACTTGACAAAGAATTTAAAAATGTATCTGTAGACACTTTGTTACCTGCTGCTAAAAGCTATAATTTGCTCCAATTTCTTTAGTTGAGTCAATAAAAATTGGAACAGCATGAAATAGTATTTTTTGCACCAAATACCTATTAGCTAAAAAAAAAAATAGTCATGTACCCTTAAAGAAGCTAAAATAAAAGCCATTCTTAAAGAAGGGAGAAAAGAGGGAGAAAAGGCAAAGGTATTGACAAAAGAACTGCACTGAAAGTGACAACTTTTAGCCATAACAGATCGTGTGAAATGATAAAACGTTGGTTTAAATCATCATCAATATGTATGGAGGTCAGGAGAGAGGTGCAATAGTGAGTACAGCCGTCTTTGCTATGGGGCTTCAGTTGGTGGTGTTGACGTTCTTGTCAAAGAGCAGCATCAGATTTTTCATCTATCATGAAATACCATCTGAAAAGCATCTGATTGATAGCAGATTGATTTTTCTGCATGGAAATGAGCTCAAACACTGCCACTGCAGTAAAAGTACACCTTGGTAGAAGAACACGCCATCAGGAACACCATGAATCATAGTCATCAACATCCAAATAAGATTTTTGATCCTTCGAGA